ATGTGTCGAATTCTTAAGAAGCTCAGACACTTTAACATCTCAGTTGTCATTTGTGTACAGACAGCAAAGAGTTTAAGTAAGGATGTTAAAAGAATACTTACTGACATAATACTTTTCCCCGGATTGTCCGAAAACGATTTCATGGAACTTATGAAAGAGTCCATGGCAGGTAAGTTTGACAGACATGAACTATGGGAGAAGTACAAAGTCATACAAGACCCTCATACTTCTTTCAGAATTCATATCTACGCAAACAAAGTTCAAATTGTGTAAATGGTCAAGCTTGAAAATTCATTATTTTTGTGCTGAATTCAATAAAAATATATTTTAGGGTAGATGGTTAGATCTAACCCGATTTCTAACCCGATTTCTACCCCAGTTATTTTATAAACGTTTTACATGGTAAACGTTATTTTTGGAATTTTGTGAAAACTCAACGGTTTGACACGTGCCCTAAAAATTATTTTACTCAGAATTTTGTGCTGAATTCAATAAAAATAATTTTAGGGTAGATGGTTAGATCTAACCCGATATCTACCCTCATTTCTACCCTCATTATTTATAACCGTTTTACATGGTAAACGTTATGAATTCGTGAGATTCTAAACAGTTTTGTAGCTTCTATTTCTTCGCTGAGGATATCAAAAATTTTAACAATGCCGAAAGTTTCTTTATACTTCTTCTTGACGTCAGATAGAAGGAAATCGTCAGCAGTTGGATAGTTTTTGTTCAGAAATGCTAACATGTCCATTTTATCTTCTACCGGCTTCTCTGCTTCTTTCTTTAAGTCTGCATAGTCGTTTCTCATACGTTCTATCTCTTTGACGGAGTAGTTATATTTCCTCATTGCTGCTTTACATTTAGAACATTGCGGATTCATTTTTGCGTTATACATTGAAATAAAACCAGCTAGAACAACCAAGGCGTCAATGACTTTCTTTAAATCTGAAGCAGTTGGTTTTATCTGTTCATGCCATACTTTACCTCTTCTATCTTTATCTCTTATCTGCCATACACATTTTGCAACTAATGAAACAAAGTTGTCGTATGTCTTAAACTCCTCAGATTTATATATGTCAGAGATGTTTTTATAAATCATGTCGCAGTCTTTATCCATAACTTTGTGGTTACAATGAAAACCTAAGAATTCAGAATTTACCTTACGAATGAATTTCTTAATTTCTGCAGAATCACTAACTTTAACTTCAATTTCATCGAATTCAGGAACAGTCAGTTTCTGTTGCTGAACTTCAGGTAATTTAGGTAAATGGTCAATAATGTCCTGCATTTCATAAAGATATTCTTCATTTTCTTCATCCTGTGCGGTACAGTCTAAATTACTTGTTAAAAGTTCCTGCTTAATTTTTTGTATTTCTGTTCCAAAACTATATGAAGAAGGAATGAAGTTTTTCATCTCTACTAACATAGATGTTGGATTCATGACTAACGAGTTTGGTGCTGTTGTTTGAATTGTTGTTGTGCCGATTGTTGAAATCATATCTTTTATACAAAATAAAAAAATAAATAAAAATAAAACTAACTTTATTTTTTCTATCTTAAGGAAATTCATGAAAATTCATGAGGATAGAAATCGGGTTAGAAATGAGGTTAGATCTAACCATCTACCCTAAACATTATTTTTTGGTCCGGGAACAACTTTCTCTCAATTGGAGCTGTAGCATACTCTTTGCGTAAGCGGTTCAGACCTTCTTCGAAGTCTTGGTCTCTCTTCGATTGAGATTGGAATTGGAATTGCTGGGGTGGAGCTTGTTGGAACAACCAAGGGTTGGGGAAGTAAGGCATAGGCTGAGGAGGGTAGTTCGGGAAGCCTTGTGGTGGGTAGTAACCTTGAGGTGGAAATTGGTAGTAATTCGGAGGTACTTGCTGGAACTGAGGTTGCTGAGGAGACTGTTGTGGTTCTGCAGCTTTCGGTTCTTCTGGCTTTGGAAGGCATTCAGGAAGAGGAACGTCAGTCATCCGTTTGTGTCCTGTCGGAAGGAAAAATTTTTCCTGTCGGAAGGAAGAACTTTTTCTGTCGGAAGGAAAAACTTTTTCTGTCGGAAGGAAAAACATTTTCTGAAGTTCGACCAAAAAGTTCTCAATTTTCGAAAATTTGAATGGTTTACGGACGGACAACTGGAAGAGTTCTTCCTGTTGTCGGGGAAAATTTTTCCCTTTGTCGGGAAAATATTTTCCTGTCGGATGGAAGAACTTGGAATGCAAGAAAGACTTCCTCAAGCAGAATGTAAAAGGCAAGCTTGTTAACGGTTGGATAACGGGAAGGGCTGCCTTGAATCTCGAGATTTCGACTGGAATTCCAATTGAGGTACCAGAAGGCACTCCTTTCGATGGCATAAAGGACGCCAAAAGAGAAGCTCTTGTTAAGTTCCTAAACAAACGTCCTTGGATAAAAATACCAAACAAGGAGAACCCCCTACCCCATATGAAATTGGCAATTCAGTCTCTCCTTCACTTCTCTGGTCAGCCGTTCTACATAACCTCAGAAGGCGACATCCAACCAGTTCAGTAAACATCTCATTTTAACTCACTTTTTTTATGTTTTTTGTGAAAGTGTCAAAAATAAATTGTTTTCATGAGTTTTCTACGATGTTAGAAAAAATGTTATTTTCTAATATCTTCACATTCAATACTTTTTCAGCACTTTTCCGTAGTTATATATGAAAGACAATTCGAGATAAAAGTCATAGTACAATGGAATAATATGTTGCACACCATTTGTTGTGAACCAAACTGAAAGTCAGAGAAACTGTTACTAGGTGGTTCGTAGAATTTAGAAGCAAAGTCATAAAGGTCCTTACCAATACATAGAAAACTATTGTTGCTTGAACTGAAACTTGCATGACACATAACATTTTGAGGGTCAAACACGTTTCTATAAACCATCAAATCTGCTGGTGGAAGTATAAATTTAAATGGACCATCTGGTGGTAATGGTTCGTTCTGGTTTAGTAACCGAAGAAATTGTGCCCAAGAACGTTTATCTACTTCCCAAAATAAAAACTCTGTATCTCTTAGGGTTAATTTCAATCTTTTGAAATGAAACGGTGGAGTTCATCTTGTCATATTCTAGTTTCAGATAGTATGTTCCATTTAGTAAAGAGTCGTATTTTTCTTGAAATTCCCAATAATATTTGTTCATTTGAGTTTGAAAGTCATCTAGAGTTTTCTCAAGACTTTCGTCTGAACGAACTGTAAAGATTCTCATTTCGTCAAATTTGTCTATTAGACCATCAGGACCTTCATACTGCCCATGAAAATATACTGCGAACATAAATGCGTTAGTTCTATTTGAAAACAAAACTCTTCTAAATCCTATTGCCTTTGCATCTGAAGGACTTTGAAGCCAACGAATTGGATAGTCAAACCTGTATGCTCGGGATGAATTTCTTCATCTGAAATAGTCCTACCAGCATTTGTAAAGATATAGTCTAACGGTTTTGTATCTGCTACTTTTGTTCTTTGTTTTTCAACCTGAAGCATTTAATATATGTAAAAATATATTGTTTTAAAATGGTATGCCATATAGCTTCTTGAATTTGTTAAGAAGTATTTGAACGTATTTTCCATCTGTATCTCTAGTGTTTACATAAGCATAGCCCGCCTTAGTAAAATATACTTGTAATTTCCTATAGTTTACGCCGGTATAAAAGTAGAAAGAGTCTTGTTCTTCGCTATAGTAGTAAAACTCAAACGTATGCTTGCCATAGTCTGTAATTTCAATTGTTTCATCTTCTAGTTCGTCGACAAATTCGAATACAATATCTCCAAATTTGCCTTTGTTCTTATTGTTTTCAGAACAGTGACCCAACGTAAGTTTTCAAGTCTATTGTCGTTTCTTATATGGTTTATATGGTCTACAAAAGGTAAATTGTTAGGATTCAGTATAAAATGAGTTGCAATGACAACATGTTTAAGATAGTGTTTTCCACCCATCTTCATAATAGCATATCCGTCATTTCGCTCCCATTCGCTTAAAACTCTTTTTGTCTTTTTGTTTCTGACTTCAAATGACTCACAACAGTGAATTTCATATTTCTCATCTAACAAACAAGTTTCCCAACGGTCTCTCCAACAAACTCAGCGTACATTTCAAATAAAATAAAAAAATGTCACTTTTTTAAAAATAAATTTTTTATTTCATGCAATGTTTTATTTCTGTGCCGTCTTCAAGTATGCCCCAATATTTCCTTTTCGATATTACATGAACTTCGGAAAATACCTTATCTAGCTTAAAACAGCCCATCTTTTCACCGACTAAACCCATTTCAATGAGTTTGTTATAGCCTTCTTCGTTCGTCATGAGTGCGTCAATGTTCTCATAGTAAACCTTCACTTTGGATTTGACTTCGGAGAAGAATTTGTTGTAGTTGTCAAGGACTGCCTTTGCGAACTGAGGGTAAGACCAATGTTCGACAATAGGTTTTAATGTGGTTACTAAGCCACTTTGACCTTGAGTGAATTCGTACTTCAAAACAAAAGGAGAAAACCTTTCAACAAAGTTGTCGACCTTCTCATAATGTTTACTCTTCATCTCTTGAGGTTTCTTAATGGAATATCCCCATGTCGAATTCATAAGCAATTTGAGTGTCATTGCAAGTTTGGGGTTTGAAGCTTTCCTAATATCATACAGTTGTTGTATGACTTTTCCAACTGTATAGTTCCTTCCCGGGAACTCACCATCTTCGTTTGGAATTCCAGTCGGAATATATTGGACAAACCTCATGTATGCAGCGTTAAGGTCGACATAGTATATCTTTTCATCTGAGTCGAACTTGTCGCAACCAATTGGTCCAGTTTGTGGAAATTCAAGTGAGTCTCTTATCTTCTGAGAAACTTCTCCTGTTATCTCATAAACATCGTCGAAGCAACCTGTTTCATATAAAACCTTCTGACCTAACTCAGATGCTCTCCAATACAATTTGACGTCAATTGGATGTCTCAATGGAAGTTTGTTTATAGCATCTTGAAGTTCTTGCAACCTCATTGGAAGTTCTTCTGGTTCAGGTTGGTATCCGAACATACCAACCCCTTGTGGAACTGTGTACTTCTTTTGTACTAGAACTTTGTCTGGAACAACTTTTGGTCTTGCTAACAATGAAAAGTTTGTTTCGTCTTTTGGTACAAAAGTTTCTGTCAGCTTGTCATCTGGAATTGGTTCCAACAAACCTTTCTCGAAAAGAATGTTTACAGCTCTGACAATGTTGCACTTACTTTTACCAAAGAATGGGTTTGTAAGACTTTCGTTCAACATGAAGTGGTTGTGGACAATTACAATCTTCAACCATGGTAAGTCTTTGTCAACAACATAGTCGTCATGTGAAGAACCTTTAGCTGTAGGTATGTTGACTCGGATATTGACATTTGCCAACGGTGCAATTTTTGCCAATTGACCTCTGAGAATGTACCTTGTCTTCACACATGACTCAAGATACTTCATCTTCTCATCTGTAACAAGACCAGAGTTCCTGAGACATGTAAGAATGCAAGGTTCGTTGACAATTGTTTCAATTGAATTGTAAATTCCATACCTTGTCAAGTCAATGTCAGACTTATTTATGAACGGGAAGTATCCAGCATGTTGTCTGACTGCTTGAGGGTTAGGTTGGTACCATTCGAACTTGACACTTGCAATTCCTTCAATTGCATTCAAAATGTCTGAGTCGGAGTCAACCATTTGTTCTCTCTTTGTAGTCTTGAAAGCGTCAAGAAGTTTTGCGGCTGTTTGTTCATTGCCATGTGCATAGTAAATGTGACCATCCAAATCTGTTATGGTCAATCTGAGATTGTGTCCTTTCTTATTTCGTCTTGATGCAGCAAGTACTCCCATGAAGCCTTCTTTGTTCTTTCCTTCGTCAAAGTTTACTGTAAAGGTTCGACCAGATGTAATTTGACTTCTAACTTCACGATACTTTTCATATGCATATCTTGTTCTTTCCATGGGAGCATGTGCGTCTTCACCTTTTCCTTTTTTCCTTCTCAAAGGATGCAATTGTTCGTCATGTTTCAGTAGAATCTGGCAAAGCCGTCGTGTCCTTCAACTTGAGGTTCACTAACATCGAAAGGCATGTCCATAAGACGTTCTTCTTCTAACCTCTCTAGTCTGTTTGGATAATTGGCACGTGCTGTTTCCAAATCTAATTCGTAGGTAAGACCTGCCAATTTGTCATAGACTTTTATTGGCTTTCCCTTCCTATATTTAAACTTCTTCGAAACTCTCCAACCATATCTTTGTAACTCTGCTTTTATTCTAGCAGACTTTCCATTCTATATGGGCATTTTTATAAAATAAAATTTTTTTCTTTACTTTACATAACCGCCTGCTGCCATAAGTCTTTGACGCCAACCCATACCAGCTAATGAAGGTTGACTTGGTTTAGTTTGGAAACTAAACTTTGGTTTTTGGTTTTTCTTCTTCTATCGGTTTTTCGTCACTTTTCGGTTCCTCTGACTTTACTTCACTTGCAGGAACAGTTGTGTCGTCAACATCTTCATAAATATCATATGCCATTTGTTTTTGTTTTCCTTTCAACTTTTTGTGTTTGTTGTAAAGTTTAGAATATTTCGACTCTAAGTCAATGAGATGTTCTATAATGAACTGTTGGTCAGTGAAGTAAACTTTTCCATCTGTTGTCTCGAAAGCTCCTTCAGACTTCAATATTTTATTTGTGAGAGTCTGTTTCTTTTTTGAGATACTAGCCGTTCCATTTCTATGAAAAGTGACTTTATAGTTAGGGTTTGTATTTCCAGACCTGGCACTTTCTATTATTGAATTTTTCTCTTCATCTGTAAGTTCTTTGACAGGTTTTGACAATGGTTCTGAACTTTTTGTTTGTGGTGTCAAATCTACCGTTTCAACTTCTTCGGTCATGTCATCTCAGTAAAAAATTTTAGTTTGGTTTGTTTTCAACTGGTTGTTGTTGTGGAGGTGGGATGGTTCCTTTAATAATATCATTCAGTTTCACATGCTGAGCCTGACTATATGGTATCGGTTTAAATGCTGGAAGCCGACAAATCCATCTTGAACTCATTTGTCTCAATGCTGCATTGTTCATTTCATCCTAGTTAAAAACCTTACATTTCCCAAGTTTGAGGTGGTTGCGGTTGGTTATTGCTTACCCATTGTTGTGCATGGTTATATCCTCTGTTAAAGAATCTTTCACCTTGGTCCATATAGTGTCCTGCTTGGTTATAGTAGTCATTTGCTTTGTTATAATAGTTTCCTGCTTGTCTTCCTACATTGTCCATCCATCCTTGAACTTTTCCTCTTGTTTCAGGATTTGGAATAAGATTTGTTGCATCTCGTGCTACATCCCAACCTTTCTGTACAGTTTGTATAATAGGTTGTGCTTTCTCTTTAAGTATACCTAATGTACTCAAAATCTTCCTTCCAATTCCAAATGCACTCTGGCTATTGTTCCCACTGCGGGTAAAAATCTAGATGCGACTCCTGCTAATCGCGCCAAATAAACCCATTTCTTATAGGGTAAAAAATGACGAATCCGAACAAGGACCCCTATGTTTCTAAAGCGACAAAGAAAGCACTCATGATAAAAACTTTAGTTCAACACCAATGCTTGGTTTATGGATATCTTGGAAAACATTCCGAGGTATAGAGAAGATGGACCACCATACTGGTTAATATTTGTTGGTCAAAACACAAGATACTGTGAAGCCATACCATTATGGTCCAAAATATTTTAGATGTGAAAACTGCTTTGACAATATTCGTTGACAAATACCATCCAACAAAACTGACATCTGACTGTGAAAGTTCTTTCAAATCAGATGATGTAAAAAACTATCTGCGTTCAAAAAATGTAAACCAATATTTCTTGTCGACCAAAACCATTCTGCTCTTGGTGTCATTGACGGATGTATAAAAATGTTAAGAGACTTAAACCAACCACAAGGTGGTGAAGCAAATGAAATGTCATATGACGACAAATATAGACACTTCTCCCAGGCAAAGATGAGACAAGTTTTAAATATTTACAATAACCGTAAACAAAAAGGTTTGGGAAACCACTCCCCGAAGAAAATGAAAAACAACCCTGACTTAGAGAAAGACTATATATTTAATAATTTAGTCAAAAGAGACAAACAAGAAAGAATGCCGGGCTTCAAACTTCAGAAAGGTGACAAGTAAAAATAGAAATACCTAAACGCGACCCATATGAAAATACTATTGACTATGACAACAATGGGAACTCGACAGTACTCACATTCGTGTTCGTAAAAATAGAAGAAAGTATACAAGAGAATATTATGAAGTTTTAGGCAAACATGGCAAAATGTACACACTGCAAGCAGAAGATAAAACTACTATTGTCAGACCTCGTTTCAAACTTGTCAAAGTTCAAGGTGGTATACTTTCAAAGACAGTTCCTAACAAATATAAGACAACTCCTGACGAATATGCTAAAGAAGTTGAAAATGACGACTAAGCAATTCTATACCATGCGTAAACTGTCATGTAAGGTGGCATGTATTCTTTACTTTGTCCCGTTGTTTGCGTATATCCTGAAACGAAATGTGTATGGTTTCCTTCTCCCTGCGTGTCATCCCAGTAACAATTTATAGTAAACTTAACGTCGTCTTTAACATCATATCCTTTACCTTTTGTCATTCTGAACCAATCCAATATCTATGCTTATGCCAACTGCTTGAGATGTACTTAAATCTATGTAATGACTGTGTGCAGGTAAATTTTCACCTGAAATCGTTTTACTTCCACTATTTCCTTTGAAGAGTTTGCACAATACAAAAACCTGTCGACTATTTGTTCCCATGCACCAACACCAAACATTATTTGAGGACCTCTTGCATCCATAGATGTATAAATAGAACCTACTGGGTTCATTAAATCAAACAATATGAGATATTATAGGATTGTCTCTTTTGAACTTAAAATATAGTGCAACTATTTCAGGTTTCTTCTGGTTTGTGTCAGAATATTTTTTATAAATAATCTTATGTTTTCAGGGTAGGTAAAATCTTGACTATAATATTTATTTCTGTCATCTGTATAATAATATACTATTCTCGTTTTTTCTATTGCATTATTCTTTTATATCTATAATAATCTAAATATAATGTTAGCTTTTGTTCATCTACATGTGGTGTTCTGTCGTCATCTCCATATCATAATAATGTGGTGCTGGAGCTGGGTCAGGTAATATCATATCCACCATTTCATAAACTCTTAAATATTTCTTTGTTCGTCTCCATATAAGTTTAAGTAGCAGTTGTTGTCTAATGGAACTTTAACTTGTGTACCATCATTCTTTTTATAGCTTACATACATTTCATTGTTATTTTTCGGAATGAGTTTATGCCGTGTACCATTTTCTAAGGACTGGTACCAACTGCCATCTAAAATATTTATTTTCTTCATTGACAGAAAAGTCACCAACAATAGTTTTCAATATTTTTTGTTCCTATCAAACTTTGGTATATTTCATTGACATATGTTTTATCTGCTTTATTTTCAAGGCTAACGTTTAAGTCTGTTATTTCAGAAGATGTATGTGTATGTCCAACGGCACTTTTCCTGTTTAAGGTTTCTTGTAAGTTTGTGAATTTGCAATGGTATGTGTATGTCCAACGGCACTTTCCTGTTTAAGGTTTCTTGTAAGTTTGTAATATTTGCAATGGTATTGTATGTCCAACGTCACTTTTCCTGTTTAAGGTTTCTTGTAAGTTTGTAATATCAGATATAGAATGTGTATGAGTCTTATCTGCTTTTGGTCTCTAATGTTTCCTTAAGACTTGGTATTTGGTTAATATAATGTATATGAGTCTTTTTAGAATATTCGTTTTCAGCTCTTGTCACTTCACTTGACATTTTATTGTCAACATATGTTTTGTCTGCTAGTTCAGGATGAGTATGTTTCTTTTGTTGCATAAGCATTGTTAGCTCTTTCTTCTTCTTTTGCTATTGCATTGTCTACATATTCTTTGTCAGCTTTGTTGTCAACATCTGCTTTCAAAAGAAGTTCATTTATAGGTTTCTCGTTTAAAGTTCCTTTTGTTGATTTATACAGACAATATTGTTCTTATTGTCTTGAAATAGAAACTCATCTGTTATAGGGTTTAATGTCAGTTTAAGTCACTCCCTTTCAATGACTCAGATATCTTAGAATAGTTGAAAAGTTTGTTGTGTTCTTATTTAGAGCTTGCATAATGAGTTGTCGGTTGTGTTGTATTTCTCTCATAGACGCTGTTTCATTTGACATTTTTATTATAGATAAAATATGCTTCCAATAGAAAAAGAAAATTCTAGAGTTGCTACAACTAAACCATTAGATGAACTTTTTACTAATGTCGCGTCAAAAGTTTGAGACAGATACTATAAAGCATGAAGGCTATCGTTTTGACTACCCATTAAGATGGTTAAGAGACCCATCTGTCACAAAAGCTATTGGCTTTCGAAGAATAAAGTTTGTGTCTGTAGAAGATAAAAGTTTTCCATTTATTGTAAGGTTTCAATAGATTATACATCTGAAGGCAACGAAAAATGTGGGAAAAATTGAGCTAATACACAAGTTGACCTCTAATCTTCTCTACAGACTGCATTAAAAAATATAGAAGATAAAATAAATTCATGTTATGCAAAATATGCTGATGAATATGCGAATACCGATAGCACACTTTATGTGAGAATTGTATATGACAAACAAAATTCACAAGTGTCATTTCAAATCTACGAAGACAATCCAAATAAAGACGAACAAATATATACAGAATTCACTGCAATGTCATGGTATTATTTGCAAAGAATGTTAAATCAGAAAGTTGAACCTCCTTTAGCAAATATCTACAGTCGATATGCAAGAGATGAACCATATTTATTTAAAGATGTTTTCGACCAAGATGCATTATTGTTCATGCTTCATTTTTTGGCGCCCAAAACTCTTTCTTATGCTTGGCAAATGACTT